AACAGGCAGGTGTCCAAACCTTGGATAATGAATCAATAGTTTATAGGAACAACCGCATCTCTGTGAAGGATAGATATTAGACCAGCACCTGGCCATAAATCAAATGATTGGTCTTTGTTCGTTTCACTCTGAACCTCTCAGGGTGTAGATAATTGATAAATTCATTGGGAATAGTTTTAAACCCTGAGGGTCTACAAAGTGCCTGATCAAGAAAGGGAGTGCTCAATCATGGATCAAATGATTTCCATTTTAGAGGATGCAAGACACATCTTCCTGGATTGGAATCAAGAGCAGCCTAGGTAAACAGATAAGGAGTTAGGTTGATTTCCGGATCAAGGCCCCCTTTCCAGACCTTGCACCACAGGAACCTCCATGAGGTGTTGGATCAAAACTCTCATAAAATCATGTGAAACATTCAACCTGAGATCAAAGTGACCTTGATAAGGGAACGGCTAATCAGCTGATCAAGGAAGTGATACTCCACTTCCTTGGATCAAGAGCTCTTCACCAGCATCAAGGACACCTCCTTGATGATGTAATCAAGAACCCTTCAAGAAATCAACAAGGAACTCCTCATGAGGTGTTGAATCAAGAACCCCTCACCAGCATCAAGGAACCTCCCTTGAGGTGTTGAAGATTAAGAACATTCACCAGGCTGACAAGAAACCCATCTAGAGTGCTTGAACAAGAACTCCATCGCATCCAAGGAACTCGAGTTAACAAGAACCCTTCATCGAGACAACCAAGAAGACTCATCCTCAAGGTATTGAATCAAGAACCCTTCACCAGAATACCAAGGAACCCTCCCATGAGGTTTGAATCAAGAACCCAAATCACCAGAGGTGAACCAAGAACCCATCACAGAGACTGAACCAAGAACCCATCACCAGAGGGTGAATCAAGAACCCATCACCAGAGATAACCAAGAACCCGATGCAACAGAGACCTGAACCAAGGAACTCCATCACCAGAGACTTGAATCAAGAACCCATCACCAGAGCTGACAAGAACCCTCACCAGAGACTGAACAAGAACCCATCACCAGAGACTGAACCAAGAACCCATCACCAGAGGCTGAACCAAGAACCCATCACCAGAGACTGAACCAAGAACCCACTCACCGAGACTGAACAAGAACCCATCACCAGAGACTGAACCAAGAACCCATCACCAGAGACTGAACCAAGAACCCATCACCAGAGACTGAACCAAGAACCCATCACCAGAGACTGAACCAAGAACCCATCACCAGAGACTGAACCAAGAACCCATCACCAGAGACTGAACCAAGAACCCATCACCAGAGACTTGAACCAAGAACCCATCACCAGAGACTGAACCAAGAACCCATCACCAGAGACTGAACCAAGAACCCATCACCAGAGACTGAACCAAGAACCCATCACCAGAGACTGAACCAAGAACCCATCACCAGAGACTGAACCAAGAACCCATCACCAGAGACTGAACCAAGAACCCATCACCAGAGACTGAACCAAGAACCCATCACCAGAGACTTGAACCAAGAACCCATCACCAGAGACTGAACCAAGAACCCATCACCAGAGACTTGAACCAAGAACCCATCACCAGAGACTGAACCAAGAACCCATCACCAGAGACTGAACCAAGAACCCATCACCAGAGACTGAACCAAGAACCCATCACCAGAGACTGAACCAAGAACCCATCACCAGAGACTTGAACCAAGAACCCATCACCAGAGACTTGAACCAAGAACCCATCACCAGAGACTTGAACCAAGAACCCATCACCAGAGACTGAACCAAGAACCCATCACCAGAGACTTGAACCAAGAACCCATCACCAGAGACTGAACCAAGAACCCATCACCAGAGACTGAACCAAGAACCCATCACCAGAGACTTGAACCAAGAACCCATCACCAGAGACTTGAACCAAGAACCCATCACCAGAGACTTGAACCAAGAACCCATCACCAGAGACTGAACCAAGAACCCATCACCAGAGACTTGAACCAAGAACCCATCACCAGAGACTGAAAGCCAAGAACCCATCACCAGAGACTTGAACCAAGAACCCATCACCAGAGACTTGAACCAAGAACCCATCACCAGAGACTGACAAGAACCCAGAGACTGAACCAAGACCATCACCAAGACTTGAACCAAGAACCCATCACCAGAGACTGAACCAAGAACCCATCACCAGAGACTGAACCAAGAACCCATCACCAGAGACTTGAACCAAGAACCCATCACCAGAGACTGAACCAAGAACCCATCACCAGAGACTGAACCAAGAACCCATCACCAGAGACTGAACCAAGAACCCATCACCAGAGACTTGAACCAAGAACCCATCACCAGAGACTTGAACCAAGAACCCATCACCAGAGACTGAACCAAGAACCCATCACCAGAGACTGAACCAAGAACCCATCACCAGAGACTTGAACCAAGAACCCATCACCAGAGACTTGAACCAAGAACCCATCACCAGAGACTTGAACCAAGAACCCATCACCAGAGACTGAACCAAGAACCCATCACCAGAGACTTGAACCAAGAACCCATCACCAGAGACTTGAAACCAAGAACCATCACCAGAGACTTGAACCAAGGAACCCATCACCAGAGACTTGAACCAAGAACCCATCACCAGAGACTGAACCAAGAACCATCACCAGAGACTTGAACCAAGAACCCATCACCAGAGACTTGAACCAAGAACCCATCACCAGAGACTTGAACCAAGAACCCATCACCAGAGACTTGAATCAAGAACCCATCACCAGAGACTTGAACCAAGAACCATCACCAGAGACTTGAACCAAGAACCCATCACCAGAGACTTGAACCAAGAACCCATCACCAGAGACTTGAACCAAGAACCCATCACCAGAGACTTGAACCAAGAACCCATCACCAGAGACTGAACCAAGAACCCATCACCAGAGACTTGAACCAAGAACCCATCACCAGAGACTAGAACCAAGAACCCATCACCAGAGACTGAACCAAGAACCCAGAGACTGAACCAAGAACCTATCACCAAAGACTTGAACCAAGAACCCATCACCAGAGACTGAGCCAAGAACCCATCACCAGAGACTTGAACCAAGAACCCATCACCAGAGACTGAACCAAGAACCCATCACCAGAGACTTGAACCAAGAACCCATCACCAGAGACTGAACCAAGAACCCATCACCAGAGACTTGAACCAAGAACCCATCACCAGAGACTTGAACCAAGAACCCATCACCAGAGACTTGAACCAAGAACCCATCACCAGAGACTTGAACCAAGAACCCATCACCAGAGACTGAACCAAGATACCCATCACCAGAGACTTGAACCAAGAACCCATCACCAGAGACTTGAACCAAGAACACCATCACCAGAGACTTGAACCAAGAACCCATCACCAGAGACTGAACCAAGAACCCATCACCAGAGACTTGAACCAAGAACCCATCACCAGAGACTTGAACCAAGAACCCATCACCAGAGACTTGAACCAAGAACCCATCACCAGAGACTTGAACCAAGAACCCATCACCAGAGACTGAACCAAGAACCCATCACCAGAGACTGAACCAAGAACCCATCACCAGAGACTGAACCAAGAACCCATCACCAGAGACTTGAACCAAGAACCCATCACCAGAGACTGAACCAAGAACCCATCACCAGAGACTTGAACCAAGAACCCATCACCAGAGACTTGAACCAAGAACCCATCACCAGAGACTTGAACCAAGAACCCATCACCAGAGACTTGAACCAAGAACCCATCACCAGAGACTTGAACCAAGAACCCATCACCAGAGACTTGAACCAAGAACCCATCACCAGAGACTTGAACCAAGAACCCATCACCAGAGACTTGAACCAAGAACCCATCACCAGAGACTGAACCAAGAACCCATCACCAGAGACTTGAACCAAGAACCCATCACCAGAGACTTGAACCAAGAACCCATCACCAGAGACTGAACCAAGAACCCATCACCAGAGACTTGAACCAAGAAACCCATCACCAGAGACTTGAACCAAGAACCCATCACCAGAGACTGAACCAAGAACCCATCACCAGAGACTTGAACCAAGAACCCATCACCAGAGACTTGAACCAAGAACCCATCACCAGAGACTTGAACCAAGAACCCATCACCAGAGACTTGAACCAAGAACCCATCACCAGAGACTTGAACCAAGAACCCATCACCAGAGACTGAACCAAGAACCCATCACCAGAGACTTGAACCAAGAACCCATCACCAGAGACTGAACCAAGAACCCATCACCAGAGACTGAACCAAGAACCCATCACCAGAGACTGAACCAAGAACCCATCACCAGAGACTGAACCAAGAACCCATCACCAGAGACTTGAACCAAGAACCCATCACCAGAGACTGAACCAAGAACCCATCACCAGAGACTGAACCAAGAACCCTCCCAGAGACTTGAACCAAGAACCCATCACCAGAGACTGAACCAAGAACCCATCACCAGAGACTTGAACCAAGAACCCATCGCCAGAGACTTGAACCAAGAACCCATCGCCAGAGACTGAACCAAGAACCCATCACCAGAGACTGAACCAAGAACCCATCACCAGAGACTGAACCAAGAACCCATCACCAGAGACTGAACCAAGAACCCATCACCAGAGACTGAACCAAGAACCCATCACCAGAGACTGAACCAAGAACCCATCACCAGAGACTTGAACCAAGAACCCATCACCAGAGACTTGAACCAACAACCTGAAGGTTAGGTTAGGTAAGGTTCGTCAGGAAACGGGACAAATGTTTCCTGACGCGGGTCTTAGTCAGATGATGACCCGCTTTTGGAGCTTTTGGTCATCTGACCGAGGCCTTCCGCTGGCTTACCGGTCCACCCCTTTAAAAATTATGGTCATTTATAACCTGAAACGAGAGAAAAAAAACAAACAGGAAATATATCTTCAATATCAATATCCTTGAGTACATCAATAATGCGACTCACCAGTATGGGCGTAGGACACAGGAACTCTCCATATACTAACATGGGAAAACACTGAGGCCAAAAACTTGCCCAGGGAAAGAGGAATAATAATACGTTTATAATAACTCCAACTTATGTCTGCAGTTCTCCTCACTCCCATCCACCTCAATACAGGGCTACTGTATAGCGCTATCGACATTAATTGCACCATAGTCACCGTCATGGGGTAGGGAAACTCGTTAAGTAACGTCTTACCCACTACGTTATTACTTGAACTAACTAAATACCAGATTATACATAAAAATATAACGCGCACTACAACACCCTCTGATCTCTGAGCAGCCATGTTGGCAACTGACGTCAGCTGATCATTATTGTGGCACGATTTGTAGTGCAACTTGTCGAGATTAAATGTAAACATTTGTAATGATATATCATTTGCGTCCTTTTTTGTTATATGTTTATCTCAGTTAAAGATGTGGTTGTGTTATGTGACGTGTTTTCTTAAGTGTTTAGCTGGAATAAGGTTAAGAGAGCATTTAGAAACATACTCAGAAGATTTTGATCCAGTCCACACAAAAGTTTAAAGTTGTTTCTTTTGGTAATTTTTTAGGATATTAAAGTAAAGTAAACTGGAAAAATCATCATTCGAACACTATTAATTTATTCTTTCCATATATTACAACTAGTTTAAAAGCTTTCAATGATAACATTAACCTAAATGTTTTAACAAGAATAAAAGCTTCGTTTAAAGTAATAAACGATCACTCCTGTATTTATATTTTTTTTGGCCATAGAAATTGTGCAAGGAAACGTTTCCAGTAAATTTACGAGTAGTAATTTACAAAAAATATAAAATAAGCCCATTAGCAACTGTTATTATATTTTTTATTCATTATTTAAGAATTCGGGATACATGCTACATATAAGGACAAAGACAAATAAGCACAATTAAGACATTTATTAATGAAGATGTTAAGATAAGTTAGATAAGATAAGATTTCGTTCGGATTTTTAACCCCGGAGGGTTAGCCACCCAGGATAACCCAAGAAAGTCAGTGCGTCATCGAGGACTGTCTAACTTATTTCCATTGGGTCCTTAATCTTGTCCCCCAGGATCCGACCCACACCAGTCGACTAATACCCAGGTACCTATTTGCTGCTAGCTGAACAGGACAACAGGTGTAAGGAAACGTGTCGAAATGTTTCCACCCGCCGGGAATCGAACCCGGGCCCTCCGTGTGTGAAGCGGGAGCTTTAGCCACCAGGCCACCTAATATAGAGCTGAAACTGTATAGTCCTTGTGGCTTAGCGCTTCTTTTTGATTATAATAATATAGAGCTGAAAACACAAGGATACTTACTAGCCGGCTCACCTCATCAGTTCCAGCCTTCCTGAATATAACAAAAGAAAGAAAGACCACTGTGGCAGACCGACTAGTTCATGCTAGGCAGGTTTAACTCACACCAAACCACACTCGGCACTCATACTTGTCCAACCTGTTTGTAAAGCTACCCATTGTGGAAATTTATTTGGTCCCTAAAGTTCCACAGGACAGATACGGTGTACAAAGGGGTCCCAGCATGGCCGTTATGGAACGGCTGAGCTGGGTGGCCGGATTGTCGAATGTGGATGGAAGGTACTATTTAATTTATAGATTTACCCTTCAGGGAAGAAGTAGGTAGTTTTACTGTTAGTACACTAATATTAGGATTATTAAGGCAACTGTAGATAATAATAATGTAGACCTAAGACCTTAACATAGGTAGTAATAGGCCAATAATGTAGGCAAGCACTAGGTTAAGTTAGCTAGGGAGAACTGGCAGCCCTAGTTTGAACAACGAGGCGTGGGTCTCGAAGACACAAGAGCGCCCTTCTATGACCAGACATCACCTGGACAAGACGTGCCGTGATCAGCAGACGGCGCCCCCCACGTGTCATCACATATGAGACCTGGGGAAATCTGGTAGAGGCACCTCGATGTACCATAGAAGACCTCCTCCGTCAGGCCCATACAGTAAGACAAGACCTCCACCTTTTCCGTAGGATTTCTGGCCAGTGTCTGGGGAAAATTGTGAGTGTGTTGATCTGTAGGCCTGTGTGCAGCTGGCAGTGCATGTCCAGTACGTACCAGCGTCTTTTGTCAGTCTAGAAGCTAGTGTTCGTGTCTGCATAGTTATACTAGGGGATACACACCCCCTTGGATATAGGAATTTCTGAGGTGCAGGCAGGTCACTAATAACGATTGAATATTGCAGGAATTAAGGCTCCTGGTTGCACGTGGTTTCTGAGGGGAAGTCCAAAGGGGCTAAGCTTAGGGAGGTTGAAGATCAGGATATATGCTGCAACACCAAGTAAGTTAGTCCTTTATATACGTGCATGCAGGCGAGTTTCGTGCAACGTCAATCATTTGTGAAAATCTGTCCTATAAGCCACTTGTGAGGCTGAGGTACCCACCTCAGAAGTCGGTGTCAACAGAGTTTACCAGGGTAGGCAACTCACTTGGAGGCAGTCCAGCCAAATTTTCACACCCATAATTCATGTTTCAATGACGCTTCTCGGGAGTTTATTCCATTCATCCACAATAATTAGACATAGCAAAAAACTTATAGACCTTTACTATCACAATTAATGAAGTAACATGAGTAGAGCAAACATTATTAATAACTTCTTGAGACACATTCTCGCCAACACAGAAAAACACTAAACTTAGGTTGTTGTACGTCAACCAGACCCACTATGCACATGTTATCAAGGTTCGCTGAGACCTAGAAAAGTTAAAATCAGGGACTTATCACGGCAGACGGAACGGTACTCAACAAATCAATCCTTAAATCATACCACGGGTGGGTTTGAACCCGCGATCAGAGTCTCAAAACTCCTGACCGTTGCGTTAGCTACTGTGCCATGGCATAGTTTGTTTGCAATCGTGTCATTACGATTTCGTGAGTCAAGTCAGACTACAACATGATCTGCAACTTCTTTGGAGACACCAATACACAGGATTTCAATCAGGTGCCCCGTTGCCTGGTGGCTAAAGCTCTCGCTTCACACGACGAGGGTCTGGGTTCGATTCCCAGCGAGGGTAGAAACATTGGGCGTGCTTCTTTACATCGGTTGTCTATGTTTACCCATCAGTAAAATGGGTACCTAATTTTCCCGAAATGCTCTGCATAACAAGCGGCTTTCTATATAGTAGTATGTCATTGATGTCAGCTATGGTCTGTATACCT